CCGCGGCGCCCGGGGGCCAGATGGACCTGGCGACGTTCCGGGGGCTGCTCGGCGACCTGGGGCTGGGCATGACGGACCACGAGGTCAACAACCTCTTCACGCAGCTCGGCGAGGACCTGGCGCTGGCGACGGGCGCGCGGTCCCTCGTCTCCGTCGACGACAGCGCGCTGCCGCGCGCGGCGTCGTCGTCGTCCCTCGGGATGCTGTCGCCGCCTACGAGCCCGAAGACGCCACCGAGCGGCGGATCCGCGGGGCCGGACTCGCCGCGGCGGCGCCGGAGCTTCGCCGACGCCCAGAAGGGCCTGCGGCGCGGCGCCGACGGCGACGCGCGCGTCAACGTCGACATGTTCATGGCGGGCATCCGGCGCCACCACTTCCTCCGGCGCATCGTCTCGCACTACACGTTCACGGAGCCGACGACGTGGGCCGTGCCCCGGGGCTACGACTACAACCGGTCGACGACGGAGAACTACGCCGCGCCCCTCGACGCGGGCTTCGTCGGCGAGCTCGTGGACATCCGCGCGCGGCTCGACGCGGACTACCACGGCAACTACGGCCACGCGCGGCAGCTCTGGCAGGACGCGGCCGCGCACGCGGTGGGCCTGCCCGCGGGCCTCGACCTCAATGCGCGCTGCGCGCCGAAGATCGACCGGTCGTCGCCCAAGTCGGCGAGCAGCTCGCCGAAGCACGGCGAGTGCGCGGCGCCGAACCAGCACCCGTGGCTCGTCTTCACCAGGGCAGGAAAAGGGTGATTCTACGTCGCTTCAACGTGAGTGTGCCGCGCGCACGCGTTCCGGGAAAAGCATCCTCGCTTCGAGGGCGCTCCGAGAGATGATCGCTCGTCCAAAAATCAGCCGAAACGAGCGGAAAACGGCCGAGAGAGGAGCCTTCCAAGTTGGGAATTTCGCACCCTTTTCGCGGCCCAGGTCTTCACGTGCGGCGCGATGGGCGCGGGCAAGGGCTGGGTCATGAACTGGATGTCGACGCTCGACATTTTGCCGCTGCGGTCCATCGTCCACATCGACCCGGACCGCTTCAAGCAGATGATGCCCGAGTGGGCCGGCCACGTGCGCCGCGACGCCGCGTCCGCGGGGACCCGGTGCCACAAGGAGAGCGGCCTTTTGGCGGAGCTCGCCCAGGAGCTGGCCATGCGCCACCGCCTCCACGTCTGGGTCGACGGGTCCCTGCGGGACCACGGCTGGTACGAGCGCGAGTTCGACGAGTTGAGGGCGAAGCACCCGACGTACAAGATCGCGCTCTTCTACGTCCACGCGAAGGAGGCGACGGTCCGCGCGCGCGTCAAGACGCGCGCGGCGCGCGTCGGCGAGCGGCACGTGCCCGAGCAGTCCCTCGCCGACTCCATCGCCGCGCCGCCCCACGTGCTGCGGGCGCTGACGCCCAAGGTCGACTTCGTCGCGCGCATCGACAACGACGGCGACGCGCCGATTTTGGAGGCCTTCGAGTCCGTGGACACGACGGGCTCCTGGAAGGTCGTCGCCCACATGTTCGGCGGCACCTACGGCATCCCCGCGCCGTCCGTGCCGCCGTCGCCGCGCGCGGCGGGCCGCACGCCGCCGGGCTCGCCGGGGAGCCCGCGGACGTCGCCGGGCGACCGCCGGCCCGCGCGGCCCCGGCCCGTCTTCAACAACCCCTTCGCGTCGTCCACGGGCGCCGACAGGTCGCCCCTCCACCGCGTCGCCTGCCCCGAGCCGCCGCCGTCGCCGGACCTCCGGCGGAAGACGGAGGACGCGGAGCGCCGCGGCACGCCGAAAGTGAAGGGCAGCGTCGCCATGGACGTCTACGCCAACGGCAGCCGCACGTCGACGGCCCTCGTCCTCGACGGGTCCCGCGAGGAGAAGCCGCCCCAGAACTACGTCGCGTCCGTCGCCGAGGCCGAGCGCCTCAAGGGCCGCGTGGCCGAGCTCCAGACGGCCGTCGCCGCGCGCGACGCGAAGATCGCCGACCTCGAGGCCGAGGTCGCGGGACTGCGGCGCCGCGAGGCCGAGGCGATGAAGGACGCCCCCGCGGGCCGCTGCGCCCAGCAGTAATTACGTCGCGAAGGTGAGCGCGACCGCGCGGCACTCGCCCGTGCCGAACCAGCCCCGCGCGTCGTCCGGCAGGTCCAGCACCGCGTTGAAGAGGGCGAGGAGGAAGCCCGAGTGGGCGGCGACGGCGACGCGCGTCTCCGGCCGCTGCCCGAGCCAGGCCACGAAGCGCGCGGCGCGCTTGCAGATCGCGCGCTTGCCCTCGCGCTTCTCCGGGTGCCAGAGCGGGTCCTCCTCGCTCTCGAGCTGCGCGTAGTCGACGCGGCTCTTGTAGGGCTCGCCCTCGAGGTTGTCGTAGGGCGGGAAGTACTTCTCCAGCGCAGCTCCTCGAGAGCCGCTTGTCGCACGTGTGCCTGCCGCCGGTCTCGTGGCAGTCCTCGTGCGCCACGACGGGGACCTTCGCGATCCAGATGTGGTCCAGCGCGTACAAGGCCGTCTGCGTCGCCCGGCGCATGGGCGACGTGACGATGAGGTCCAGGGGCTCCTCGAGCCGCGCGAAGCGCGGCCGGAGCGCTTCCGCCTGCTTCCGACCCACCTCCGTCAGCTCCGCGTCGACGTAGCCAAAGTCCGGGTCGTTGTCCACCGTGTAGGGCTCGCCGGCCTTCTTCGCGGCGCGCCAGTCGCGCTGCGCGACGTTGTGGCGGCCCTCGCCGTGGCGGATGAAGAACACGAGCTTCTCCGACGGCGCCGGCGCGTAGTCGTCGGCGACCAGGCGACCCCGCGCGGTCGCTCCGAGCGTTCCCAGCAGCTTTTGCAGGTCGCGCTGCGCCGACGACACCTCCGCGGCCTCGTGCGCCTCGACCTTCGGCGGCGGCGGCGGCGGCGCGTCGCGGTCCATGACGTCGAACATGCTCAGCGCCTCCTGCTTCCCGATGCCGAGGTCCTCCTCGTGCTCGCCGTTGAGGAGCTGGCGGCTGAACATGTCTGCTTGGGGTTGCAGCGTCTCGCGGCGGCGCGCGCACACGTGGGCGGCGCGACGACCGCTGCTCGATGCCCTGCGATCACCGCTCGCCGAACCGCCACAACGAAGCTCGCCTCAGCCTCCGAGCCTCCGACCTGTCTTGTTGTGCTCGCCTCGTGCGCGGCGGCCTCTTCGTCGCCGTCGTCAGGTTCTCGCTCTCGCTCCGATACCGTCGTCGCCGTCGTCGGGTTCTCGCTCCCGCTCCGATACCGGCGCGGGGCCTGGCTCTTCACGTACCCGGAGGACGCGCCGCGGAACGACGTGTAATCGAGACAAGATGGTCCTGTCGTCGCCAGGGCTCTCGAAAGCTTTGAATGACGGGGATTTACGAGCGGTAGAAGACGCCCTCGCGAACGGCGAAGACGTTAATGACCGTTTTTCAATCCCGGGCATGACCTTGGGCTTGACGATGCTACAGAGTGTGATGACGGGTAAGGTTGTGCCTGAGTACGGTTGGACGCACGGGCATGACGAGATCGTAAGATTGCTTCTCGCACGCGGCGCGGACCCGAATTTGACCTGCGCAATCTCAGAGGAACAGAGTGGGGTAACCGCGTTACACGTCACTGTGCTCGTCCGTCAGAGTGACGCGGCGCATCTGTTGGAGCTTCTCGTCGCCCATGGCGCGCAAGTGGACGCTCAGAACTCAAAAGGACTTTCGCCGCTCATGCTGGCGGTAACGGTAAAGAATCATGAATCTACTCGCGCTCTTTTACGTCTCGGGGCGAATATCGACCTCGTCGACGGCCGAGGCGGCAATGCATTGATGATGGCACGCGGGGACCCGGGATGGCGACATTTTCGGGATGGTCACGGGGTCATCCATGACTACGTCCCCGATCCACAAATCGTCGCGCTGCTCTCGGCCGTGCGCGCGGCGGGGTCGTGGAAGCGATACTGCCGCGAGCCCGCCGTCAAGCTCCTCGCGCTGCGCTACCTCTCGCTCGCGGGCCGCGCGACGCCGCCGGCGCACTTCGCGCGCCTCTTCGGGACGCCGCCGGTCCAGGTCGAGGCGCAGCGGCGGCCGCGGCGCGGCGCGAGCCGCACGCTGCCCGACGGAGTCTTCAAGAACATCCTCGGCTTCTGGAACGAGACCTCCTAAGCCCTCCGTTAAATCTGAGTCGCGGCCGCGTCCGCGCGCGCGACGTCGCTGTGCTTCGGCGTCGCCCGTGGCGAGTACCCGGGGAGCGACCGGAAGCTGTCCATGGCCTTGAACGACGCCGCGCGCGCGTTCCTGCCCGTCTCGCGGAGGATGTCGCGCAGCAGCTCGAGCGCGGACAGCTCGCGGCGGATGTCCGTCACCGTCACGTAGACCAAAATCACGAGCCCGCCCAGGATCGTCGTCATGAGCAGGCCGTCGGCGCCTGGCCCCTGCGACGTCCGCGCGACGAGCGCGCCCAGATAGAGGATCGTGAGCATCGAGTTCAGGCACTCCGCGAGCACGTCGTCCGCGTCCTCCTTGAAGGGCCCGAAGTACCCGTAGAGCTTCGTCCAACTCATGACCACCAAAATCAGGAACGCCAGCTGCGTCGGGCTGCCCGGGAAGATGAAGAGCGACGCGCACGTCAGCAGCACCGCTTCGTCGCGTCGACGCACTCAAAGTACCAGAACTGGGGCTCGTAGGGCATCCAGAGCATGCGCGTCGCGAAGCACGCCGGGTCCAGGTCGCGCTTCTCGCAGGCCGCGTCGACCATGGCGACCTGCTCGCTCGCGGTGATCTCCGCGCCCTTCTTGAAGTTCAGCGGGTCGACGCGCGACCGCACGGACCACACGGAGAGGTAAAAAAACAGCGGCGCGCCCAGGGGCCAGACGAAGAGCATGCACGCCGCGTAGGCGCGCCAGAAGTTGTAGGTCCGCCCGCCGCAGCGCAGGTCCAGGTCCGCGCGCAGGTACGCGTCGCCGTCGTCGAACTCGCGGCAGAGGAACGTCCGGCAGATCGTCACGGACACCATGGGGAACGTGAAGAAGAGCACGAGGATCGTCGCCGCCGTCGGCGAGTGGCGGCGCCCGCAGCAGAGGTAGGACAGCGGCGCCCACACCAAAAACACGGACAGCAGGAAGGCCCAGGGCCCCAAGGTCGACATCGCGAGCGTGCCGTAGAACGACACGCGCCGGTGGCAGCCGAGCCCCGCGATCTCCAGGAAGTCGACCTCGAAGAAGCCCAGGCTCCCCAGGAAGCCGTTGTAGACCGGGGGCAGCTCCATCGTGCCCATCGTCGACACCATGAGCTGGATCGCGACGAACGCGAGCTTCCACTTCGTCGTCAGCTTCGCGTACATGCGGATCACGTGCACGCGGATCGCCTCCGCGGGCCTGCGCGCCTCGTCGGCCGCCGGGTCGTTGACGGCCTCGCTGAGCTCGGCGGTCGCCGCGGCGTCCATGCTCGCGGCGTCGGCGCCCATGCTCGCGCGCTCCTCGCGCTCGTGCTCCGCGTCCTCGAATTCCCGCTCCTCCGCCGCCGACGGCCTCTGGGACGTGTAGAGCACGAGGAGGCTCAGGGCGCCGTAGGCGAGGAGCCCCATGGCGATGGCGAGTTTCTCACCTCCCCGGCCCTCGCAGGACTCGCACTTTTTGCTGGCGAGGTAGAAGTCGTCGTCGCAGAGCGAGCAGAGCCGCCCCCGGTAGCCCCGCTCGCACGCGTCCGCCGGCGAGTCGTCGGCGCCCGTGACGCCGACGCCGCCGGCGCACGTGTCCGGCGCACTCCAAGATGTCCGTCGACGTCTCGTCGAGGCGCCACCAGCCCTCCTCGACGTCGAGCGTCGCCGTCGTCGTGCCGGCGGCGCACGTCGCGCGCCCGGGGCAGGGCTCGCAGGCCGCGCCCGTCCAGTAGAACTCGGGGTAGCACGAGTCGCAGACCTCCGAGCCCTCGGCGCTCGTGAAGCCCAGCGAAAAGTCGCAGAGCGCGCAGAAGCTCGCGCCGGCGACGCTCCGCGTCCCCGCGGGGCACAAGGCGCACGTCGTCGCGCCGGACGTGAGGCCGATGCCCGGGGTCTCGCCCGCGGACGTCGCGTACTCGCCCGCGACGCAGCCGTCGCAGGACGCGCGCCCGGTCGTCGGCGCGGCCGTGCCCTGGGGGCAGGGGTCGCAGGCCGCGGCGCCGGCGTCCGCCGCGAAGGAGCCCGGCGCGCAGGGCTCGCAGGCGTCGGCCCCGAAGGCCGCGTAACTGCCCGCGGCGCAGGCCTCGCAGTCGCCCGTGCCGTTGCCCACGACGGACCCCGGCGCGCAGGTCGTCGCCGTGACCCAGGCGCGCCAGGCCGGCTCGTTCGCCCGGACCCAGGCGCACGCCGCGTCCTCGACCCCCAGGTCGCCGCCGCCGCGCGTCTCCAGGGCCATCATGGCCTTTTGCCGGTCGTTGTCCGCGCCGTAGCCCGCGAAGAAGGTCGCCAGGCTCGCGTCGGCCTGGAGCGTCGCCGCGTGGGCCACGGCCTTGAGCATGTCGACGTTCATGAGGCAGTTCGCGCCGGAGAGCGTCGGGTCGCCGGCGTGGCGGTCCTCGCACGCGGACGAGAAGGGCGTCGCGGCGAGGGGCAGCACGGGCACGCGCGCGACGAGCGGGTCCGGGTCCCACCAGTAGAAGAGCACGGGCCGCGACGCGTTGTGGGCCGCCTCGACGACGTCGGCCATGCCCGACACGCCCACGTACGTCGCGGTCACGTTCAGGCCTGGGCAGCACGAGAGTGATTCAACGTCGCTTCAACGTGAGTGTTCCGCGCGCGCGCGTTCCGAAAAAAGGATCCACGCTTCGAGGCCGTTCCGAGAGACGATCGCTCGTCCAAAAATCAGCCGAAACGAGTGGAAAACGGCCGAGATAGGAGCCTTTGAAGTTGGGAATTTCGCACTCTTGTGCTGCCCTGGTTCAGGCCCTCGGCCGTGAGGAAGCCCTCGTACCACGACTCGGACCAGGACGGCAGGACGAAGTAGGCCTCGGCGCAGGTCCCGTGGTCGCAGTTCGGCGGCGCGTAGGTGCCGTTGACGCAGGACGCGTTCGTCCAGCCCGCGCCGCCGCACGCGGCGGCGTCCGGCGCGCCCCAACTCCCGGCCGCCGGGAGCGCGGCGACGACGGCCGGGTTCAGCTTGATGGAGCGGTAGTGGTCCATGATGAGCTTGTCGTAGGGCGGGTCCGCGGCCGACGCCGTGACGAAGAGGCGCGTCTGCCCCAGCGCGCCCTGGTTCTTCGCGACCGCGCCGCTTTTTGTTGCTTCTTCGAACTCGGGCTTGCGGATGCCCTCGGAGTACCAGAACTCGGGGACCAGCGTCGCGCAGGCCGCGGCGACGCGGGCCGTGCTGCCGCTGCCCGCGGACGCGAGGGAGATGTGCACGGCGTAGCCCAGGACCTCCTCGAGGAGGATCCGCATCGCCGACGCCTGCAACTGGCCGCTGAGCCAGTAGGGCATCTCGACCACCACGGGGGCCGCGGTCGCCGCCGCGCGCCGCGACGCCGCGCGCGCGTCGCGGAACTCGTCCCAGTAGGACCCGTTGAGGCAGGGCTGGCAGTAGCTCCGGTTCGCGAGCTCGACGCCGTCCCACTGGAAGCAGGTCCCGTCGTCGGGCAGGTCGGCCTCGGCGACGCGCGCCGCGCCGCCCGCCGCCGCGCAGGCCGCCGACTCCTCGGCGTAGGAGCTCGCGGCCGCGGCGCCGAGCGTCGCGAGGGCGAGCATTGAGCGCATCCTTCCACGCAACATATTATGCCCCATGGCATTGTAAAAAAGCAATAA